GGGGGGGGGGGGGGAGGAGGAGGGAGGAGGAGGGGGGTGGGGTGGGCCCCGGCGGTGAAGAAGGACACACAAGGGTCTACATTACTCCCCCACTCCTCCTCTGCCTCCTCACAATATCTCTGTCAGGCTTTTTCTTTCCCACATTTCATTTCTGCCCTCATTGTCCCTTTCTGCTCTGCGTCTTCTGTACTTAGCAACGTAACCGCGCCATTTGCTGACCATATCAAGCAAAAAAATAAATAAATAAAAATATAAGAAAAAAGAGGAGTGCTGCTCATGTGTGTGATGTCATTTGGTTTTTGAAATTTCCTAAATAGCTAAATATTAACACTTGATAATAGTGACATATACAGGTGTACGGTCCTTAAAAATATTGCAAGTAGTAAGGAACTTGAAGTAGTGTCTATTAAGAGAGACTCAAGAGTACAAACCTCTTCACTTATTATTTCTTTCGCTATAACACTACCCGTACTGTACATATTTTACTGTACATAGCAACAGAGTGCACACAGAGACAGTAATAGAAGAGATAATCCCACGAGTGGAAGGACAGTTTAATAACAATAACTGGAAGGAAACGATGAAACTTATCCACCCCCTCATACAAACAAAAAACATTCATAAACTATTTAAACCATCAGACTCATTTTCATTACATCTTTTGATTTTACAGCAGAAAAATGTGTCGGTGGAATGTGTGTGTGTGGTTGAGGGGGGTGGGGGTGGGGTGGTAACAGGCTCTGCTCAACTGCATCGTCAGTCTTTGTCTTTTCATTAAGGGATGTTAGGAATTAGCAGCCAATTATAGCGGTTTCTTGATGAGAACAAAGGTAAAAATGATCCTGGAGTGTTAAGACCAACTTATTTTAATTGTACTCTCTGAGAACTACGTTTGTCGATGCCTTGGAATTCCTTATCGTAAGCTAAATCAGAATGTACGTAATTTAAATACTATGAATAAATGATGTTATATCTTAAATAATTATCATCAAGAACTTGTCATTTACAGCCAATGGAACCTTTTTTTAGGTGCAGCTTAAACATCAGGAGCCTTAATCATATGCAGTGTGTAGTGGGCGGGTGGTTCTGGGTTTTTTTTTTTCCATCATTACACAGACTAATAATACTGTTCTTACAGCCTCTGGCTCAAATTAAACCCTGGTTGTACGATGTCTGTGACAAAAACCTCCCTTTGCGAGGTCTCTGTGAAGGCAGCAGGTAAAACCGTAGATGTTTCCAGAAGGAGGATGAAGCCGTGGCTCCTCTGCCTCTCCAGGTGACGCACTTCCCCGTCTCACTGAGGAGCTGTAAGGCCTCAGCTAAAGAACCTGCAGCTGAACCTTCTCCCATCTCACTCTCAATGAAAATCAGACGAGTCTGCCTCTCCACGAGAGCTTCATGGATGGCAGTCAGCAAACCAGACCCCAGACCTGGATCTGAAGAGCTGGGGATCAAAACCACGGCCCGGCTCTCCTCGATGCAGTCCAGAACTGCATTGGCTAGAGCTGCAATCAACCACAAATCCATTTAGACATGCATCTGTGTATGTTGTGTAAGTTGTTGTTTCCTGAATTACCTTCTCCTGGCTGGATGTCTCGTTCAACCAGGCAGAGTCTGTAACCGAACTTTTCTTCTAAAACATTTTCCAGCCACCTCCTGTCCTCAGCACTCAGTCCTGAGTCTGCGTGGCTTTTATAACCCATCACGAAGGCATCGTATCTTTTATCATCTGACGATCAGACGACAAAACCACAGCATCTCTTTCAGCCGGAGCTTTCGACCAAAACGTGACTCGACAATGAATGATGCCGAGATTTATTGTCACTTGCAATAAATCACTTCCACTTTAACAGAATCCTCACCTGAGATTTTTGCGTGGCAGCCAAGGGTGTCCCTGAGGAACAGGACAATGTCGATTTTGAACCGGACGTAAACAATCACCGCCGCAGTCAGTGCTGCCACAATGCAGACGGTGCAGAGACACAACAGTAAATATTGAGGATGAGCTGCGGGAAAAAAAAAAACATACAATATAATTTATCTTTAAATAATAATTAATATTAGGATTAACAGAAATCAGGTAATCAGGTAAATACTATTTACCATTTCGGAGATGGATTGTGACAAAGTCTGAGCTTTGATAAACAGCCGCCAGTTTACAGGTGTAATTCTTTGATAAATCATCTTCTGATATTTTCCGGAAGACGAGAGACGCTGTGGTCTGAATTTCATCGCCTTCGATTTTCCTGAGAAAGAGTGAAAAATGGGAGTTTATTTCGAAAGACGTCCTATAGACTGGATCTTTGTCCACCATATCCACCATCTCTCCCGAACATCTTAATGAAAACCCCAAGTACGTTAGCAGGAATCAGCTTTGGTAGATTCTTTTGACCTTGTGCTGTTGAAGAAAACTGGTAAGTTGGAATCTTGATCCACAGTGAACTCTCCGATCAGCCAAGATACATCGTCAAATTCTGAGTAGGTCACGGCTGTACAGTCAATCACCACCGTGGACCCTGAAAACCACAACGCAAGTCTTCAAACCGTTTTTTTTTTTTGTTTTTTTAATAAAGCATGACCAATAGACAACTGTCTGTTTACAACTCACCTAATTCTACGTGAATCACGTCGTCGTCACGCGGTGAAATAATCGCAGCTGTTTTCTCCGCTTCTAAAGTTGAAAAACGTGTGTTTTGTTTTTTGACATTATTGAAAGTGTTTAACCTGATCGTGTCATAAATGGAGTTTGCTTTTACTTACTCTTTGGTTGGACATCAAGTATGACGGTAAAGGTCATGTTATATTTCTGACCCTGGTACTGGTAAGATCTGACGCACGTGTAAAGACCGCTGTTTTGCTTTTCAACAGTTGGGAAGTAATTGTCCTTCTGTAGTGATTCTCCAACCTGATGAATGGACAAATATACTCTATATAAATATACACTACAATGTGTAAAAAATATTCATAAAAAAAATCCCCAAAAAGTAGAGTTACCTTATACCATTGAATGCCATTGCTGGTGATGTTAGGACTGTGCACAACAGGTACATTCACATCAGGACAGTTTAATTTGCAGGACTGCTGCGTGAAACATGTCTGAGAATAATTCTGTTTGTCCTCACACCGTCTGGACGCAGCAGAGTTCACCGTCACTACGAACTCACTGCTGCCATTCCTGCCAAGACATTTAAACGACTGAGTCGTTGTCCAATTCATCATGTGCCAATCGACAGATTTGAAGATTTAAGGCAGTGGTTCTTTACCCCACGGTGCAGGAGTATTTGCCCTCATGCTCCACAGATGCACTGAGGATAACAAGACTTCCTCTGTGGACCGACATGCTCCTCTGCTGCTGCTCATCTGCCGTCATGTTGGTTAGAACCCTGTCCTGGTCGGTAGCCCTGCTCCAGATCAGTCTGACTTCGGTATTAGAGTCGATGCTGCGTGGACACTGGAGCGCCACCATCTCTCCTGCCCTCACACACACGTTCTTGGGCCGCGGATGACACGGCGCTGTGGAGGACGGAGGAGCAGACTTCGGTAAATTTGTCAGACATAATGAACAATAATATAATGCTTACTGATACAACACAGGTTTTAATTATTAATATAATAACGTGTACATTTAAATATATGAAGTATAATAAATAATTTATTAAGACTGACTTATTAATAGAATATAGTAAAAAATGAGGCACAAAATTGAAATGTTGATGTTTTTTACTGTGCTTCCTCTCCCTGTCTCACATCACAGTGTATGCAGCAGCATTTCTTGTACAAACTGTAGACTTTCAACAACCCCTGATAATTCGCTTATGTATTTTCTTTTGTTTTTATCTCAAGGTGTGAAAAAGCACAGCATACGTTCTAAACCACATCCGACGCTCATGCAGCCTACAACCAGTGACTTCTCTTTAACGGTTCGTGTGGGCAGGGAAGAAAATCCATGGTAGTGCATTCAAACGAATTACATGCAAACAGAGAGAAACAGGAAATGTTTCAGAAATGTCAGTTTTTATAGGTTTACAGACACTCAACACTGTGGTTTTCTCCTCATTTACTCACTACCCACTTCAACAGCGAGCACGAAGGAAAGAAAACAAGATCATTTGATTTGAATGTTAACCTGTGGGTATAAAAATCCGTATGCTACGCAGCATGAACCAGAGACTTACAGCGCAACATTCTACAGTATGTGTCACTGTGACAATACAACATGTGTATGCATAATCAAACACATTATACTTGTTTTACAAAGTAGCAGAAATAACACCATGTGTTCTAAAGGACACAATTTGCAAAGAGAAATGGTGTTTTCACAATAAAGAACTAAACTAAAATTGATGCATTTCACCTCACTGGACACTGAGCGTCCAGTTTGTATACACAGTCTACTGTTTCTGCAAGACTGTTTCGGACATTGTTTAAAACCATCACATAACTAAATAAGCTAAAACAGACGACCTGTTGACCAAGCTGACAAAATAAAATAAAATAGCTTTTCTCAATATAAAAATGTTTGAGGTTTTATAACCAACCAACTTTTTCCTTTCTATATGACCACTCTACCCAAATCTCCTGCCCTGGGTGGAGTGTAAAATCCGTCACGGTTCAAAACAACAGAAGCTGACGGTACACAAATGCAGTGCAGATTCACGTCCAGAGCCCACGACCGAATTGATTGACTTACTTGGATTTAGTGTGGAGAGAAAAAGCAGCGCAAACAGAGCAACCGTTTTCAGCATCATGATCGGAGTCTACAGCAGAGGGAACGCGCTCAACAACTGAGACTTTCCTTTATGTGGTTTCTCGCATTATTGTCACAGAAACAGGAACAGTGTAGGAGTAGAAAGAGAGATAATCATCAACTTCATCATCGTGTCATCATTGAATTTTGCAAATATTTCATTCATAAACGTACTAAAACTGTCCGATTCCACTGCAGAGAAAAATGGAAATATTACTAATATTAATTGTTAATTAATATTACATTATTTCAAATTTGAACTAATAATAATAACAATGTAAAATACACAAGTAATCCTATCTATCTAGCTCAAAAAGCAAAAATAAAAATTCAAAACTCTATCTTCAGTATATCTGGATGTTTTGCTTTTTTACCAGCAGATGGCAGAAAAACATCGTTTGCCTTTTTTTATGCCACAGAAACTTAGTTCTTTCCAACATATTTATATTTTCACTTTAATAAGCAAAAATCCCAAAGTGCTTCATAATTGTTATTTTCATGTAAAAAAAAACAATACATACACATAACATATACAGGACTAATAGAAATGATCGATTTTTCTGATTATTTACCATAAGTGTTTAACACCACTGTTGAACTCGATTGCCTGTGAATTGAACAAGAAACAATGTGACTCAAACTTCAAAACTGGATTAGACTCACAATTACTTTTGGACTCAACACAACCTTGACCCCATTTCTTGATTACTTTGACCGATGTCTGAATGTCAGTACTGGTCACTCAACCCACACAATGTTTCTTTTGTTTGTTTTTGATTTTGCAGTTTATTTGGTCATATGTTATGAGCAGCAAAGCGAAAGTGAAATATGTTGCTAAATTAAAACAGACTTTGCTTAATAACTAAATATTATTTCATTTTTACTTAACTGAAATGAAGCCTGACCTGTAACTTAGTAGCTTTTACTTAGTACAATGCAACCTAGCACAACACTGAATGTCAGATATTTTGAATCAGATTTTTCTAAGTTACTGTTGTTGACAAATGTAAGTTGAAACCTGAACTGGTCAAAGCTCTTTTGTTTTCTTCAGTGTTGGAAACACGGGGCTGGACCCGTGGCAACAGTGGACTCCGAGAAGCGTCTCGCAGTAGTGTATACTTGTGTGAGGGTTTCAGTTCTCAGAGTGGCCGGAATACACACACACACACACACTGGTCCTTTTTGATGTTGACATCACTGCCAGAGACATGACTGACCTTCTGAGGCTGGTGTCAGAAGCCAACACAAAGAATCTACCGACCCTGTCCAAGCTGTCTAACAGTGGTAAGATTTTTTATTATCATTATTTTTAATTCATCATCCAAAACTACATTAAAAACCTCACCATGTCTCATTTTTACTATAAGATATCAGTTCCATCTGGACTGAAGTGTCTGCCTTTATTGAACGCCAGATGACTTCACACAAGGTAGGTTTTATTTTTGACCCTAACCCTAACCTCTCTAAGTACCTATTGTACCTACTTATCCTTCCAATTTGATTTCTACCTATGAACAGTATATGCCCTACCCTAACCCCTCCATCTTAAATCCCCAGTGTCTATTTACATATCTGACAATGTACATTGCTTTTCACTATAAGCCGCTCTAGCCACTCACTACAGGTTTCTTCTAACAGGGGGTCCACCTGGCAGGACTTGGGACGTTCAACTTTTCTCAACAGAAACTGGATTTAGGAAACCGGTTCATGATGATACATCGACCGGTCTTCATCCTGGCTGGAAAACTATTACAGAGCCTGGGTGTGAAGCAGAGCAGACCGCTGACTGCAGGTGAACACATCATTTAGATTTCTATATCATAGCGGTGAATATTTTAATAATGTATTTATTGAAACTGGGTTTAGAGAATATACTTTATAAAATATAGTTGAGACCAATTGATTTAGAATAGAAAGTATATAGTTATAATAGTAATAATAATAATAAAAGGCTATAGCTGACAACCATATAGACTTGCATGTTAACAGGGATGCTAACAGGGATGCCAGTCTATACTCAATGGTGGGAAAAAACCTTAAATCCAACTCACTGCTGTAATAATTAGGACTATCATTGAACATTATTCACACAAATGGCTTTCCACCAGAATATTATAAAACAAACAATAAGGCAGGAGGCAAAAATCAAACTTGGATGAACTTTACAGTTGGGAAGAAATTACACCACTGCTTAGCACTTACTAGAAAACACTAGAAAAGGAACTGAAAGATTACCTAATGCTTGGTAGGAAGTGACTCAAATGTAATAAATAATCAAAATGCCAAGGGAACAAAACGGTACTGTTTGTAAGATGTCGTATTCCACATGAAATGCATTTCGGTACCAGAGTTGGCCCCCAGGCATGACCTTGGACATGCCTGTCATAAAGTTAAGAAAGAGGAAAGAATGTGTCACAATACGTCGTAGCTGATTGTAATTACTGACGTTGTCAGGCAACAAAGGGAAACTCGATAAAGGTTACTGCTTCTGAACGAACAAGACATACTTTCAATAAAGGTTACTGCTTCTGAACGAACAAGGCATACTTTCACATCATGGTCTACTAAACGTTATTGTGTCCAACATCATGGTAAAGATGTCGCCTCCCTTGTTTTCCTGGTTTTGGCAATAATAAAAAATAAATAAAATTGTATACAAAAAAACCCACAGATTAATTACACATTGTATAAAACACATTAATTAATAAACTCCAGTATACATTTAGTGCGTCAATTTCCTTCACTCACTACTATTACCATCAACCATTAGCTACTTAGCATACACTTCACACCCAATTACCATCAAGCCTCTCTCGAAAACCGGGTACTTCATCCCGTATGTACACAGCTAATTACTTAGTCACATATTAAACTCATAACATATAGTATGTACACATGACTGAGTGTATATTTACTGACCTGGGGTGAGAATTAGCGCATTTCAGCAGTATGCGTGAGAAGTAATTCTGAATAATATCCTTGACGTTCCCTCATAGAGATACACGTTTAGCTGACGTTATCGTCAGGGCCGCAGGATTTATTCTTCCTGTTTGTGTAAATCCCGTTATACCACAAATGCGATGCGCCACCTAGTGGCCTAGCATGGCCTAGCAACGTAGTGATTACAAACAGAATGATAATAAATGAATGATAATAAATGAAAAATATTTTTTTTTTAAATATTAAGAGTGTTCGTTTTCTCTTATCTAATTTCTGCGATGGTTCTTACATTTCCCTACCATTTCCATCCTGAGTATTCCAACCCTCTACATAGACATGATTTTTTTTCATATTTCTATCTTAAATTCAAATGCACATCAGCAAAAAATAAATAAATACATTGGAAAATAATGGGATTTCTTTGCTGTCTTTCAGTATCACTGTTGCCGGTGGTGCAGTTAAACTTTGCTGCGGTGTCACAAGAGACCCCGTTCAGTCGAGGTATAGTTGAAGGCTGTGTTCGTGAAACACTGCTGCTCCTGTTCAGAGCTTTGGCGTCTGAACAAAACATATCTGTCACATTCAGGGGAATTGGAGTTCTGTACTTTACCAACAACAAGGTAGTTTGGTGGCTTGATCCTTTCATAGTACAGTCAGATTGTTGACGGCCAAATTGAGTGTCAAACCTATTGTGTTTTGGTTTCATTACAGGTCAGAATGAAATTCAGCAATGACTTCATTAAGGCCATTGACGCAAGTGGGAAGATGCTCTTAGCATTTCATAACGTACGTACAGTATATGTGACACGCCGTAATGGCATGTGCCTATTGAATTGAACTGTGATGTTACGCGTACAGTATTGCATTTAAAAGGTTTTTTGGTTTTTGTGCAGTCCCTCCAGAGACCTGGCAGCAGTGTCTCTTTACTGTCCGCTGCACCGTCCAGGCTTCAGAGGGTCCACAGTGCCAGTCCTGTCAGTCTGCCAACTGTCTGCTCTCCACAGCCACAGAACAAAGACAGTGATCAAGATGAACAGAGCTTGTCACCAGCCTCAGACCACAGGAATGCAGGAGGTGAAAGAGTCTTTTGCACAAAAGCTAACAAGAAGGGCAGAGGCTTGGCAGAAACTTAAATAATTAAAGAAAAAAAAAAAACCACTTCTGTAAGATTAGAGTGAGGCATCAGGACGTTCGATTGTCTGAACAGGGAAACATTTTGATTTGAGTTTTCATAAGTAAAGACATGAGTTCATCTAGGGTCATGAACGGTGTGTAAAATGAACACTTTAATGTGTCGTACGTGTTTGTTCACGTAGGCTAATGGCAGTTATGTTGTGTCATTTTTACAGAAGTCCAACAGTTGGAGTGTCAATCCCATCAACCCATCAAGATAAAAACTATTCGCCCTTTTGAGGAACTGACTGCAAAATCTCCCAAAGAAGATATAAACAAGTACTACACAGACACACACAGACACACATGGACCCTCCCCCTCCACACACACACAAACACACACACCGGTGGTCTTATATTGTTACTGCCCTCAGGAGACTTCCTTCTCCATCAATGATGCACAAACTCCCTGTGGGACGGATTTCTCGTATGTCATCACCTTCCTTCAGTGTCCCTCACACAGGAACACACAAACTGAGAGACACACAAACACACACGCCAGTACAGAACGAGACACGCACACATACACACTTCAAGACAATTAAAATGGCCGGCACTTCTTTGACATTAGGGCAGAAGGTGATGGTTGACGGTCCAATACTTGTACAAACCCAAGGTGACCCTTTCCCCTGCGGGTGATAACTGATATTCACTGTCACCTTAGCTGACTGACATAAGGCACTCACAAACAACCTCCCCCCTCTGGGCTTTGCCCCCCTTATACCTGAAATGCAGACCTTGACAGTAACGCCTTGAGGACACTTGGTGTCCATGACAACGGATCACCTCTAGAAATTCGAATCGCACCTAAAATCACCTTAAAATTGATTTCTTTACTCAGTTACAACAGGTACCGCGCCCCGAAATATGACTCAAGACACAGGCTAATGTATCATATATATATACATCCAATCCAAAAAAAAATCATACATTTTATTTTCCACTGCTCTTGTGTCTCTTTCTTCGTCCAGGTCCAACTCTGTTGTCCATCCATTACAGGGCGTTCCCAAAGTGGAGAAACCATGTGCAGCTGTTCCCTGCTCGGATCATGAACCTGCTGGACAGGTGACTATCTAAAAAAAAAAAACACAACCCTATATTTCTCCTTAGGGACCCTAACCCTAACCCATCATCACATGATTGACAGCTGCTATTTGGACTTTTCATCGGTAAATGTTAAAAAAAAAAAAGCTGCCATCAAATTCAAATTTATAATCACAATCAGAATATAATTCCGAATATAATTTGTATGTTCAGTATGTATGTATTGACCTTGGATAAATATACATCGATGACTGATTGTGTAGCCTTGTCCTTGCAGGAGCTGTGCTACCTGTGTCTGCAGAGGGAAAGAAGAAACGTTCCAGTCTATACCAGGGATCAGCAGGAGGCCGAGGAGAAAGCTCAGGAAAAGCTCCTACGGCACAGAGAGCTACAGAGAGACAAGCAGCGCATGGAGGAAGAACGGGTTTGTGCAACCGTTGCGTGTTGCATGTCATTATATTCTAAGTAATAATATAATCCAATGTTTTCATGACGGTCCAAGAATCTCTCACAGAACCCAAGCCCTCAGTGAAAAAGTAAAACGTGATGCACATTTTCTGCATGTTTCTCCGACAGACCAAACTGGAGAAGCAGCGTCAACATGCAAAGCAGGTCGCTCTATACAACCTGCAGATGTCAGAGAAGAAGGAGAGGGACTGTCCTCTGTACAATGTGAGTGGACATAAAACGTATATTTGGAAAGTACAGTGTGTATTCATTACGGAAAAAAAAAAAAACCTGAACATCAGATTGTCTCAGAATTTAACTTCAAACATACTTAGAGGCCAAATTTTAGTTTTTTAGTTTTAGCTCACCTCTTAGCGATCTGTGCCTCTGTTTTTATGTGAAGATTGAGTTTGGTTAATGTTCAGCATCTTCTCTCGACCGTTTAGACTTCGTTCATTTTCTCTTCCCGGCCCCTCACTCCTGCCAAAAGGATCAAGCAGCAAAGCTACATGAAAGATCTGCAGAGTCAGATAGAGAGGAGACAATCCAGAGATGTTGAGGAGGAGCAGAGTCGTTTTCTGATGGAGCATCGAGACCAGGTTCAGCTGGTCCAGGAGTGAGTCGCCGAGAGTAGCAATGAGAAGGCGTTTTAATTTTGCAACTCAAACTAATGTGTGTGTGTGTGTGTGCGTGTGTTATAGGATAGCTTCCCGTAAAGCTCGGCAACTCCAAGAGAAACAGGCCAAAACGAGACGTTACAGAAGTGCGTTGGACAGACAGGTAATCAAATAAAATGGAATCTCGTTTAATTGAAAATAACCCAATGAATGAATTAACAAAATATGAGATGTATCTGATTCATTTGCTCTTTATATATATATATATGTTATATATGTACAAGTGTAATTCTGATGACATTGGCAGATGTCAATTTATGAGGAATGAGAAAAGGAAACCACTGAAGTTGCTGACTTTTGCAGAAATCCAACATTAACATGAGATCAAAAAATTCCAAATATGCTGTTGTTCTGCTCAGGATGGGGAAGGGCAGAAGTCAGAGGAAAGCAGCAGCGTGTATACCACCCTTCCTGTCCATCAACTGTATGAGTGCATACAGGAAAGAAAAAAGAAAAAAAAAAAACTACATTCAGTCAGTGTTCATTTCTATCACAAAATGTATTTTGTAAATGTGCCGAGACATTGCAGATTATTTACTGAATTAGTTTTTCACCTGTTATGTGTATAGTCATTTTGTAAAAATCTTGCTCTGCAGGGAATGAGTAATTCCTCGCTTTAGTTCAATATTTTTGTTTGTTTGTTTAAGTTCAGTTCTGACTGTAAATACAGTCACGGTATCTATTTCAGTGTAAAAAAGTATACAAATTATACACAAATATTTAAATCATCTAATATAATCCTAATAATACATACATAATTTATATATATTTAGAAATAAAATCCTTGAGAAATTAAAATAGTTAATTCTTATATAATATTTTTTTTATTAAGTAAGTCTGAACTCACATACTGTACATCAGTGCCTGTGTTACTCAGCTACGCTAACATAGCGGTAACGCCATGATCTAGGATTCTAGGACATAAAAACATTAAAAAAGTCTGACTTACCCTTTGGACTTACGCAAACAGAGGAAAGCGAATGTAGTATCCGATGTATGGCGTACAAATGACAAACGTAAACAAAGCCGTCGTCCACATATAGCACCGCCTGACGAAGCATTTGTCCGAGAAATGGCGACGTAACCACAAAACGCCGCAGGTGGAGGACGCCGTAAACCAAGTCAACTGCGCTACATAACACCAAATTTTTCTCTGTTGTGCCACTAGGGGCACAAGTGCCATAGTTTGAGAATTAGTGTAACCCATTTTCCATATGGTCTATGAACTCATTAAACGTAGGATTTCTCTTCCGTAGGTCGAGGGCAAGAAAGACGTGGAAACCCCGGAGTTCTTCACCAACACCTTTGTGATCAACCGCTGTGAGACTCCAGTCAACATCGCCGAGGGCAGAGAGAGGGCACAGAAGGTCGACGAACAGCCGTTGACTTTTTAAAGAATCGTTTTACGACCATGTGGAATTCACCTTTTTTCCTTTTATTTGCAGCTCTTCCAAGTGAATTTCTGTGCTGCTACCGAGAGAAAAATGGAGGAAATGAACAACCGTCAGGCAGAGGTGGAAAAAGAACAGCAGATGCTGAAACTCAACAAAACCGAGTGAGTTTAGGAAGGAAGGGTGGAAGCAGGATTAATGTATAGAGTTACAGTCTCATGCGAGGTCTATCGAAATGTGGTTTTTCCAACAGGCTGATCCTGGACTGCGTTAGTCGTTTTGAGAAGAGACGGGACGTCACTGAAGCACTGATGGACAACTGGAGCCACAGCGTCACACTCAAACACCAGCGAGTAAAAGACGAAAGGCGCTTCCTCAGGTGAGTCACCCAACAATTATTTTAAATTTGTTTGGTATCCAGAAGTTCTTTCAAAGATGAGTTGACGTTCTATATAAAATTCAATATTTTTAAAACAACTGTGAAAGACTATGGCATCTGATGTTTGTTTTTGTTTTTTTTCTGACTGCATGTCAGTTGTGATCTGACTTCCATCTTTTCTCTAAAAATATTTTTGATTTAACAAAAATATTCTAATGTCATCACAGGCTGGATTATTTTTAAATCTGTTTTAATTCTTCTGCCTCCGTGTGGTCAGGTCTGCTGGTCAGCTCCTGGTAGACCAGCTTGCACAACACAAACGCTGTCGTCAGTGTAAGAGGAGAACGTCTAACGTCGGACAGACCAACATCTGGAGGGACTCGGATTTTCACACAAATTTTATGATTTGATTTTGACCTCCTGTGGACAGCGGGGTCTCAAACAAGTCTTACATGCATCTGACAATAAGTGGACAAAAGCAGGTCACACCACACAAAATCTCAAAATCTCATTCCTTCAATTGTTACTTCAATTTAAAAGGAAGCTAAGAAAAAATGAGCAGGAAGTACAGACAAGTAAACAAAAGACAGAAGATGTGACTATTGAGGTAAACAGGAAACGAAAGACCTCAAAGTGGTGTTGGGAAAAAAAAAAGGCCCGAGATGAGGAAAATAAAAAAGAGTTGTAAAAGTGACAAAAACAGAGGAGAGTGGGGCTGAGAGGCTGACCTTTGTCTGACCCTGAAGCTGTTGAGTTCACACGTCATACAGAAAAGTGCATAACTTATAAAGGGGAAGAGTCAGGGGACCCCCGATTTATGAGTCCATAAGAACAGAAGGAGGAAAAACACCAGTGACGAGAAGTATCTCTATTTAGAAAAAAAAATTAAAATAAATTATAGCACTATGATCTCAGAATGAGCTAAAACAAACATAACAAAGATAAAGGAAGGAATGTAGCTCTAACATGGGAGGATATCTTCACAGACCGGGAGGTACTGTAGATGTACATGTTGTATTGCAATATTCTGGCACAGGGCCCAGTTCTGTGTGAGGCCAGGACTGCCTTAGTGATTTGATGGAGACATGTGAAGGAGACTGCACTGAAACAGATGCACAATAAAGTTCTGTAACACATTCTGTCTGATTAATCTATAATAACTGACTGGTCCCACATGGAGACCATGACGTGTGTTGACTAAATGATGGCACGACACAAACATATCTCCCTCACACTGTATCCCAGAAGAGGAGAAAAAAAATGATATAAAGAGTACCCACCCAGTTTTGGCTCTGGGTTAATTTTTTTTTATTTTTTTTTTTATTGATTGCAGTTAGCACTGACAAGTTTTATGGGCTGTAAAAAGTTGACCTGACACAGACGGTACAGGTCTGAAACATTTGGGGGAAATTTCCTACAGTAAATGTTGTCAGGGTGAACAACAGCTGATGTCCATTAGTGTTTGCTCTGCCTGAAGGGTTTGTGTGAACCAACCGCCTCTCCTGCGTCTTTGTTTCATTAGTCACTAGTTAAATGCACTCTCTTTCATTTATTAGTCATTGGATGAACCTCAGGGTTGAGTACCCGTTGGTGTTGGTGAATTTGCAACAAAAAACTTGTTACAGTAGAACAGTAGAACCTAGAGGTTTATGGACTTAATGAGATCCTGAAGGCTGTTCGTGAGCCGAGATGTTCAAAACGTGAAACAATTTTCCCGATAGGAATCAATGTATAATGGATTCATCCGTTCCTGGACCCTGATTGGTTAGTCAAACCACCTGTATTCTCTTAACTTGCTAAAAGGTACTAATAAAGACCAAGGGACTAATAAAGATCTCTCTATCTATCTATCTATCTATCCACACACCCACCCATCCATCCTTCCATCCTTCCATCCATCCATCCACCCATCCATCCATCCAACCAACCATCCATCCTTCCATCCATCCATCCATCCATCCATCCATCCATCCATCCATCCACCCATCCACCCATCCACCCATCCATCCATCCATCTATGTTGTTGTGGTGTATGACCTGCAGACCCAGTGGTAGAGGACAGGAGCTCATGATGCCACCTTCAATAGACTTTATGCTCTTTGTTATGGCGGCTGATTTGATATGTGGGGCCATTTCTGCTGTTTTAAATACACAAGCGGCCTAACAGTCCATGGTCGATGTTGTTCGCTTCTCTTCGTCATAATACCCATCGAATTCAATTCAATTCAACTAAGACAGGTCAGAACTGTGGCTTCGATATTCAGGCTTTAGCATTTAGCATTAATAAGCAGACATACTGTAATTCCCCACAAAACACAGTTCTGTGAACACAGACTCTTCATTTGCTTCTTCCCAATCTGAAAAAACTCAACAGAGATTCAATAAAAAAACTGCCAAATACATCTGTGGAAAAGACAAACCCAGCAGTTTATCTCTGTCAAGTTGTTTGATTATTTGTTGCCGTGTTACTTAAAAAACCACTTCCAGATCTGATGAGAACATGTGACAACGAATATTTGTTTTTTCTGGTAAAACCACACGAAGCAGAGCCCAGAAATGACCACACCTGATCCCTCAGGCCCCGATAATGTGTCCTACATTTGAACATTTACGAAAAATTACACACACATGCACACAGGCAGAGCGGGAGAGAAATGTAATTTAGAGGAAATACAATAAAATAAAAATGCTTTTTTTATGTCATTTTATACTGGGTTTTTTTTTTTCAGTTCACCTTTGAAGAAGAACAACAACAGCGCAGCTGCAGGGGATCCCCAGATCTTGCCAAGTTCTGTGGTTTGTGGTACAGAGCTGTTAGGTTGTTTAGCACGGCGTGTTTCATTACTTTCTGAAACAGTCATTTCGGAGTATTTAGCTGCTTACAGAGTAAACTCCATTTCACACTTAGTGCCCAAACTGTGTGGGATAGAAAGATATTTTCTCCTTTTTGGTTGCTGCAAACTTCACTTAGAGGTTATGTTTCTTTAAAATCTTTAAAGTCTTCAAACTTCTTCTTGTCATTTTTTCCTCCCCGTGTGTGTATGTGTGTTAGGTTCTTCGGACTCCTCTTGGCCTTTTGTGTCTTTTTATGGTCAAAATATGCTCGGTCAGTGGATAGAAAGAAGAAAAAAAAAAAGGGGTAAAAATAGTCACTGATATGAAATAGCAACAGGTGCAATAACTTTTGCGGGACCTTCTCATTTATTCTACCATATTTCCAACAATATTATTTGGAGAAAACAAAGTTTCCATCCTTCCGTTTTCCAGAGCAGATTTTTTCAAACATCTTACACAATAAAATCATTTTTAGAATATCAATTTTTCAACGAGTACGACGAGCATGACCATGATTATTTAACAACAACGTGACTCTCCTAACTGAACGAGAACATTTTCATTTGTACCACTAGAGAGAGCCCAAGTACTGTACCAGCAGTGGTACACGTACCATAGTTTGAAAACCACTTTTCCAGAGATTGGAGCGCACATTAAGCTAATTTGTATGGTACACACTGATGTTTGTGGATTCGTTTTTTTTTTTTTTTCTTCTTATCGTCTTACTGTTCCAGCTGCTCTGGTCAACCGTCCAGTCAGTCATCGTCTGCTTGTCAGCTGTTCCAGCTGCTCTGGTCAACCGTCCTGTCAGTCATCGTCTGCTTGTCAGTCAACTACAGCTGTTTGTCTCCAGCCGCCCTGCCCTTTAATGCATGGAACATCTGGGTATGTCAGCATGTTTCAGCTAAAGGTGAAATGTACATTTGATTGTATTGTTGCAAAAGAATGACTGATTATACTGCTGTGCCTAGAGTTTATAAAGGATTCAGGGCGATGTCTACTGGTCTAGAGGTTTTTTTATATTTGCTGCTAATAAATGGAGTCTTGATGGACGAACAGCTGTTCACACAGGCGTATATATAAGAGGTGGAGATGGAGATGGTGATGATAACCGAACAGACCAGAGGACTCTTAAAGCCAACCATGCATGCACGCAAATAGGCTGTATGTGAGTGGATGTATTACACAATACTAATACTAAAAAAAAAAGAAGAAGAACAAGAAGAAGAAGAAGATGAATTGAGCCCCCCCTCACTCCATTAGGTATATGGTTGCAACTCACAGGCAAGTATTAATAATAATAATAATAATAATAATAATAATAATAATAATAATAATAATAATAATAATAATAATAATAATAATAATAATAATAATAATAATAATAATAATAATAATAATAATAATAATAATAATAATAATAATAATAATAATAATAATAATAATAATAATAATAATAATAATAATAATAATAATAATAATAATAATAATAATAATAATAATAATAATAATAATAATAATAATAATAATAATAATAATAATAATAATAATAATGATGATGATAATAATAATAATATAATAACGATAATAATAATAATAATAATAATAATAATAATAATAATAATAATAATAATAATAATAATAATAATAATAATACCAAATAAAAGTAATAATAATTTGACAAATCAATACCTCCTCTCGTTAGTACATGTTGAGACACACTGTAAATTTGCATCCTTTCACCTATCAATTACCAATAAATGCATAATACCACTTATCCATTCATTCCTGTTTGTATGGCATTATATGGAAACAATTTCCATATATTGTTTGCATATTTTGCCATCCCTAAGCAATGTCACTTTTTCCTGGGAGAATTTTTACATTTTTTTATTTAGTTTTCTTGCTTATTAATTGTACATTGTTATTGTCATATATTTTATTTTATTTATTTTTTTGTGGTATGTTCTGGTATTTGACTTTGGTACATCTAATAGTAACTTGTTATCTCATTTAGGTGCCTTTGAGCAATAACCAATACAGGTCACCGGTCCCATGCAATTTCACATAAACAGAAAAACACTCAGTGATCATCTTTGTCACACTGATATTTATCTAAATAATTATTACTGTGAGGAATTAGGGAGCAGCTCCGTTACTTTAAATGATACATGAGAAATATGGGAACATTACTTGTACAGTGTGCTCTCTCTCAGGACTCTGGGTGTGTTTGTGTGTGTGTGAGTCAGATCCTCTGGTTAGTTTATTAAGATGTAACTTGTGGTTTGGTCAAAGGCAGACATTTACGGGCTATAATTAATGTTTGGGACAAGTTTTGGTTGAACTTTCCAGGCTTGTTAAACTGACTCCAACTGTGTAGAACAGATATGGTTGTTTCAAGATTATGCAGCTGTTCTTTAATTCTACAAGGAATTTTTTTCTTTTTTTTTTTTTTTTTTGTTAAGCAATCTTTAAAATCTATGGCAGCTGTGTGTATCCGAGCATGGACTGCTGCCCAGGGATCTAGATGAGACAACAGACAATTAATCACTGACCTGCAGTCAGACCAGAAAAGTGGAGTCTACTTCCTGACTGGGCCTCTGATCTGAAGTGATCTGGTATCAAAACACTTTAATCTGTGCTTGATAAATGACTGCAACAAACAAAGTCAACAGCGGAATGAAGTCAACTTCCAGAATCGCTGCAGTCACAGATTCTCAGAGGAAACGCTGGATTAGTTATGATTCTCACTGTGAGCAAAATGTTAATTAAATTAGTAATTATTTTAGTTAAAAAAATGCTCTACAGCCACTAGCGATACAATGGATTTGAAACTGATGAATCTCGTGATTATTATTTTTATATATATATATATTTTCCCATCATTATTTTCCTGTGATAATTATATAATCTTTAAAAAAAAAAACACTTCACAGTTGTCACAACACAAAAGACGGAAGAAATAAAATGGTCGGGACGGGAACATAGGAGGAAAAAAAAAAAAGGCCGTTAACCTTGAGCGGATGAAGTGATAAAATATTCCCTGACTGATTGTGACCAAGCAGACATGGGAAACCCCTGCGTATGTGTGGATGAGCTCCCCTTGCTGATGCGAACACACCCTTTCCTACACAATAAAGGTCTAATCAACCTGAGCGGTGACTGACTTCCTTCTCCACGTGTTTTCTTTACCACCACGGCAACAGTTGTCATGTCGGGAGCAGAGGTGTCAAAGTAGAGACAGAGGTCAAACAATAGGTGGAAGGAAAATCTGACTGTTTTCAAAACACAAGCGTGGCTT